CACTAGCATCGGCATTAGTCATTGCAACACATATGCCACTGGGTATGCATCAGTTAATCTGTTTTCATAGTCATTGTAAGCATGAAAGAAAATTCACAGTGCCCATCCAAACAGCACCAAATTGCAAAAAGTTTATGCTTTTCACTTAAAAACCACCAGTATTTATTTAAATATAACAATATTTGCATAGCAGTTAGCATAAAATATCATAAAAGCAATGGCCTATCCAAAAAATGTCACAAACAGTAAAGCGTGCAGGATTTTTTTCACACAGCTGTATATATATAGAAATACACATGATCAAAGATAAAACCCCATCCAGAATGTATATGGGTCAGTATAAAATGTGGGGGGATGACATTGCCATAGATGCATATTACTAGCCACCCAATCATTCAGAAGAAATGGATGAATTATTTACCAACCAGTTAACAAATGTATATAGGGAGCATACCAGAGTAGTAATGGGAGACTTTAACTATCCATATATCACCTGGGAGACCAACTCTGCAGCGAGTGGGAGATCAAACAGATTCTTAACCAACCTAGCCGACAACTTTATCATCCAAAAGGTAGAGGAGGGAACTAGAAGTAAAGCTATACTGGACCTAATTCTTACTAATAGAAAAGAAGTGATAGAAGGAGGTGAAGTTGCCAGAACCTTGAGTGAAAGTGACCACATCATATTAAAATTCAATATAATGCAAACACAAGAAATAGAAAATAATCCAACCAGTGTGTTAAACTTCAAAAGAGCTGATTTTAACAAACTCAGAGAGACTGTAGGAAAGATTCCATGGATGAAAATCCTAAAGGGGAAATCAACTCAAGAAGTCTGGGAAACTTTGAAAAATGTGATCATAAAAGCCCAGTCCAGCACAATACCATTGAAAAAGAAAAATCCAAGAAGAAACCAGCGTGGCTGCACAAAGATCTCTCTGACAATGACAAAAAAAAAAACAAGCACGGAAAATGGAAAGAGGGACACATAACTAAGGCCGATTGCCAGTGTTACATGCAAAGAGGAAGTCAGGAAAGCAAAGGCTCAGAATGAACTAAGGCTTGCTCCAAAAGTCAAAGATAATTTTAAAGAAGTTTCTTTCAACATATTAATAACAAGAAAAAAAAATCAAGGAAACAGTAGGTTCACTAAAGAGAGAAGATGGCAAGAAAGTAACAGGTGGTAGCGAGAAAGCTAAGCTGTCTAACTCATTATTTGCATCAGTCTTAATGCAACAAGAAATTATAGCCCAATGTACAAAAAAAAGACAACTGTACAGACAACCTACTGTAAAAGATAAACTAGAAATAAAAATTAAAATAAGCAAAAAAATGGTAAAAGAACACCTATCTGATCTTGCTGAATATAAATCACTGGGACTTGACAGATTACACCCCAGAGTTCTGAAGAAGCTGGAAGATGTTATCTCAAAACCACTGTACCAAATCTTTCAAAATTCCTGGATCACTGGGGAAATACCTGAGGATTGGAAAAGGGCTGATGTGGTTCCCATCTTCAAGAAAGGGAAAAAAGCAGACCCAGGAAACTACAGACCAATCCGTTTAACATCAATACCTGGGAAGATCCTAGTAAAGATAATCAAAAAACAGATCTGTGAACAACTAGAAGCAAATAAAGTTATAACTGGTAGCCACCATGGGATTGTTAAAAACAGATCATACCAAACCAATCATATTTCATTCATTGATAAAGTCACTAAATTAGTTTACCAGCGAAATGCTGTGATTTCAGTAAGGCATTTGACAAAGTAGATCACAATCTACTTCTTGGTAAGCTAGAAAAATGTGGAATAGGTATACATATATGCACAAGCGCGCGTGCACACACACACACGAATATGAATATACATATATCCCCATAATGTATCATCTCTGTATAGAGTTTCAGAGGAAACTATTTGTATGGCTTGAGACTGTAGTTTATGTAAACAATTTAGCTGAGAAATAATTTGGAAACCACAAAATAATTGAGGTTAACACATAATAATGTAAGGCAGCACTCTGTACTTCACCCTTGGATTTGTTTCCTCAGCAATTATCTTGGGAAATTGGAAAGCAAAACTAAAGATAATTTTGTTTTTTTGTATGTCTGTCTCCCACAAGATCTGCCTGACCAGTTAGGCACCACTCTGGTTTTCTTTGATTAGATAATGCCATTCTCAGGACTTTCAAAAAATCCACTCTCTCTGGAGCAGCCTTCAGCATCCCTTAAGATCTGGATGCCTCCCCTCCACCACCACCACTGGTTCAGAAGAGCCTCTTCACCCACACCCTTGATGAGGAAGAGCCCTCCCTTCCTCGTATTTGCCATCTTTTTTCTTGTATTTATTTCATTTTAATTTCTTTGTTTAATTCTTGTGAGTTGTCCAAAGTCATTGGGAGTTTGATGGCATACAGGTAATCCTCAATTTACAACCAATCATTTAATGACTGTTTGAACTTATAACCAATAACTTATTTGAACTTATCGCAAAAGCTACTTCTAGTTCCAAATTTATGTTACCTGCTCCATGCATGCACACACGCACACACATACCCCACAGTTACACTCTCCAACCAGTCTGCATTTATGGCTGTTTGCAATACCCATGGTCATGTGACTACAATCGGTGACAATTTCCCCCAGAAATCAGCGTTTGCTTTCAGTTTCTGAAAAAATATGGTCAATAGGGGAGATTGGTTTCATGTTGTGACTCACTTTACACCCATCACAATTTACAAGCTTAATTGTCAGGCTCAATTATGTCCATAATTTAAGGACTACTTATTGAAATTTAATAAATTATCATTATCATCATAAAAAAAAAGTGGAATAAACAACATCACCACCACATGGATTTGTAGCTGCTGACAAACTACTCAACGAGTAGTCCTTAATGGTACTACATCTACATGGAGAGAAGTAAGCAGCGGGATACCACAAGGCTCCGTCTTAGGCCCAGTACTCTTCAATATCTTCATATATGATTTAGATGAGGGATTGAAGGGGAACTCATCAAATTTGCAGATGATACTAAACTGGCAGTAATAGCCAACACCACAGAAGACTAACTCAGGATCCAAAAACATCTTGACAAATTTGAACAACGGGGGCCTATCCAACAAAATGAATTTTAATGTGGAGAAAAGCAAAGTATTACATTTAGGCAGGAAAAATCAAAGGTATCAGTACAGATTAGGCAATACCTGGCTCAAAAGTAGAAACTGCGAGAGAGACCTTGTGAACTCCTAGTAAATGATCATTTGAATATGAGCCAGCAATGTGCAGCAGCAGTCGAGAAAGCAAATACAATCCTACAATCCCAGAGGCATAGAATCAAGATCACATGAAGTATTAGTACTACTTTACAAAACCATAGTAAGGCCACACCTGGAATACTGCAATCAATTTTGGTCACCATACTACAAAAAAGATATCGAGACTTTGGAAAAAGTTCAGAGAAGAGGAACTAAGATGATCAAAAGCCTAGAGACTACCATATGATGGACAGCTTCAAGTTTTGGGTCTGGCTAGTCTAAAGAAAAGAAGAATTGGAGTGACATGATAGCAGTATTCCAGTATTTAAAGGGCTGCCACAAGGAAGAGGGGGTCAAATTATTATCCAAAGCACCAGAGGGCAGGACAAAAAACAATGGTTGGAAACTAATCAGAGAAGCAACCTGGAATTAAGAAGAAACTTCCTAACAGTGAGAACAATTAACCAGTGGAACAACTTGCCTTCAGAAATCATGGGTGCTCTATCAATGGAGGTTTTTAAGAAGAGACTAGACAGTCACTCGTCTGAAATGGTACATTCTCCTGCTTGAGGAGGGGGCTGGACTAGAAGACCTCCAAGTTTTCCCTTCCAGCTCAATTCTAATTCTTATTCTATTCTTATTCTGTTCTATTTCACACATATACACACACATCTACCTTTGTCTGTCTGTCTCAGGGATCCTCAAACTATGGTCCGCAGGCTGGATACGACCCGCCAAAGCCATTAATCCAGCCCATGTAAGACCACAGGACTGCCCTGCCCACATCACCCCACCCACCTGCTGGCCTCCACCTTCGGCTGAGCACAGGACTTACCTTCATGAGCCCCACGGGCTGGAACTGGAAGATAAAGCCAACATTTTTGGTCTTCAGAGTGCTACTGGAGGCCTCCCCCATCTCCAGTAGCTTTGCAGGCCAAAAATGGGGCACACAGAGGCCTCCCAGGACATCTGCACATCCCATTTTTTACCTCCCCCACCTCCAGAAGATAGACTGAGAAAGAGCGAGAGATAGAGAGTGAGACAGAGAGAGAGAGAGATGGACGGACGGATGGACGGAGAGAAAGAGAGACGAGACACACAGAGAGACAGAAAGAGACACTTGTTAATTGTAAGCTCCTTGGCGCTGAGAAAAATTGCTGCAAAATTGAGTTTCCTGAAGTGGGCCACTAGACTCCTAAACAATTGAAAAAACAATCTAGTAAAAAGAAAAGTCAACCAAAAGAGCAATCTCCAAACAAAAGCAAATAAAATACCCCCAGAAGCAAAAAATATAAAAGTTTAATTTGTGTCCAATGTTTAATGGACTGCTAAATTGGCCACACCCACCCAGTCACATGACCACCTAGCCACACCCACCCAGCTGGTCCAGGCCTCCAACAGTCTGAGGGACCCTTGATTTGCCCCCTGTTTAAAAGGTTTGAGGACCCCTGGTTGGTCTATCTGTCTATTAATCTAATCTATCATCTACCATCTATCCATTTCAGTGTATCACATTGCAGATTGCAATCAAATTTGGGAAATGGATTGGGGTGAATAGGAAGATGACTGTGCATTATACTCAGTGGGACAATATAAAAAAATATGAAAAAAAATGAAAAAAATGATAGAAGTTTTTTATCCCCAACCTATCTAATTTAATAGGTAATTATTTAGTAGAGAGATAATAAGAATAACTAGGAATAATATTTTCTTTCAGTTGTGTTTTGGAGTGTGTTCTTAATATTCAAACTGATTAAAGAAAGAAGGAAATTATGTGAGATTGGAAAGAATTACAAGAATTGAGTTTGTCCACTGAAAGGAAAAAAACCATAGGTCTGCTGAGATGACAGAGTGACCGCTTCTCATGCATTATTCTTAAACAAATTAAGCTGAGACAGTCACGCAGTAGCAGAATTGCCAGCAGAGATAGATGCTGGAGGTGATCTAACTTGTATTACTAACTTCAGCCTCTGTAGCAACCTTAGGAGTAACTGCAGACAAAGGATATGTATATTCAGAGGTAAGTGGATATGATGCAAATCCTAATTCATTTCTTTTAACAGTGCTGATAATAAAAATGTTAAATGTATGTGCTTTCAGAATCAATCTTTCTTTAAAGATGCTTTTTAGGGCTGATTTAAAAACAAAACACCATGACATTGCATGAATTGTTTATAGGAACGATTAGAGGCTATGATGCGGCGCTCCATGGAACGAAGTCAGCAGCTAGAGCAGAAACAGAAGAGGTGGTCGTGGGGAGGAAGGCTGGCTGCAGGCTCAGGCGACACAGATGGTGGGTGAGACTGACTGGCTGCATTGCAGATTTTAAACTGAAATACTTGAGTTGAAAAGAAAGCTGCAGAATTCTTCTTCTGTATAGAATACTGTAGAATATGAGAAAGAGTCAAGGGCATCATGAAGTATTTTCTATGGCTTATTACATTTTACATTTTGATTCTTCCTTGAAAGTTAGGTATGCCAGAGCATTAGTGCAGATAATATTAGAAAAGAAATAAATTCCATTGAAATAAATCATTTTAATATCACTAGCTATCAGCTCTGTATAACTTTGCAGCAGGTTTTTTTTATATTCCAAATGCTCATAAAAGCTCAGGGGAGTTCTTCATGATTGTGCAGTATTTACAGCAAAAAAAAATGAATTATTCTCTTAGCATTTGCTTAAATTAAACCATCCACCATATTCTGCTTTTTATGATTTTGAGAAAACAGATATTTTTAATTCATCAGCTTTTTCCAGTAAGTTTTGATCAAACAAAATATTTTATTTAATTATAAACAGCCCCTGAATAGTCTAACCCTTGTCAGAATTAAATGATTTTGTATTAATATTTTATTATAAAACTAGATATAAATTGCTGGGCATCATGAGGACAGTCTGGTAATGTTTCTGAAAACATACACATTAACATTCTTGTATTATTGGGTTTTCACGCTTAATATAATTATCACCTTTTTTGCTCTGGTTTTTTCTTTCTTTCTGTGATATAGGTGAATCAGAAAATGCCCCACCCCTTCTAGGTTTAGCTGTCAACACTCTTCTTCCAGACCCCGTGGTTTCAATTGTTGCTGCTGAACCCTACAATGGTATTTGAGACTCCCAGTGCCATTGTGTTGTTTATCACTATAACATATCCACTAATCTTGTCTTTCCCTTAATGGTTGTGTTCTCTGTTATTTAGTACATCTATAACAATGTTCTTATTGGAAATTCAGGGCCAATTCTCCCAAGTGCTATTGTTGCCCTTTTTTCATTTACACATTCCATTAAAATAAATGGAAGTTGTGCAGCAGGGGGGCTTGGTGAATTGCACGTAGGCATTTCACTGTATTTCTTTTTCAGTTCTGTCATAATGAGGTGAAGCATGCTCAGCATTTCAGCATCACTGATATTTCAAATATTTTTCTATTCACATTTGATCTTTTCATCTTCTTTGTCCACCTGTGGGGTCCATGTGTGTGTTCATGTATCATATATATGAGTCTATAGATGAAAAATGAGAAAATGAGTAGAGAAACAACTTACTGAAAATATTTCAATTATACACTTATGCCTACCTGCCTACCTTTGTAACGTACGTATGTATGTACGTACGTACATACGTACATACATACATATATATATGCACTAATGTTACTTAGAAGCAGTAGAAATAAGAACAACTTAATATCTTATTTTGCTGCCTCGTATATACATTAAGACTTAATATATTTAAATGACTAGGTGCAAACAGTTCATTTATAGCTCAAATTGTCTTTCAATGATGTATTTAGCTTAATTATTGAAATTAATTTGCATGTGTTTTTATGTAGAAGGTTGCCTCTGCTTAATAACATATACACAGGAGCTGAATATATTTTTGTTCATATTGTCTTTCCTTATGCCCTATCAGAGCACTGCTTCAGACATTGAAAGAGGAAGTAGAACTATACCCAATGACAGGCACTTTTAATCTTACTTTTGCTAATACTTACATGAATATGAAACACTAACCAGATAGGCCTATTTTATATATATTTCAGCAGAATTGAGAATTTCAGTCTTCCAAGGTCATGTTTGCCCATAGAGCTCTCCTGCACAGACTCCTGCATGTTCAGTATTTGAGTGTCATAGAATATAGAAAAGGCACTGATGTGATGTAATGGTTTATTTCAAAATATATGTAATACAGGAAGGGGTTCACATTGTTTCCAACATTCTCATTTTTGGAACTGTGTTAACAATGATAGAGAGACATAGGAGTCTTATAAGAAAGAATAAAATCATGAGCCATAGCAGCATGTCTAAGAAACAGAGGCTGTATAAATATGAGATGGCTTCAATTGATTTTGGAGGATTAGATAAATAAGCTTAGAATGTGTATTAACTTCAGTAGCTTTTAGATTCATCAGCGATGGGGAGTTTCATGGAATGGTTACTACTTGTTCTAGAAAGGTATATAATTGGATTTAAAGTGGGGAATTCAGAATAAGAACCTTCATGTTGTGTTAAAAAAATTTCACTAGACGCTGTATAAGTGTTATGATGTAGCCAATAGAGTATATCATTAATTAATTGATTAAATACATCAGTGTTTTGAAGTAATATTTGTTAATTGATAAATTGATTGGTTTTGCATAGGCAGATTTCAGATAAACAGAAGAATTCAAATGAACTAAATTTAAATTAACATGTTGATTTTGTAAGGAGAAAGTCTTAAAGTAAAGCTTATGATATGGCTAGACAGATGTGCTTTATTCTTTGTCCTGACCCATTCTAAAGATCCATGGTAACAAATTTAAAATGTTTAGCATTGCAGAATGAATATAAATCTCTTCAATGCATCTCTCTGCAGCATGTGACAAACTTTCAGTTTCTACAATGAATCTGCCAAAGCAAATGGAGTCGTGTATCAATAAACGTCTGTCCTCCTCCATAGCAACAATAACTTATTCCATTGATAAAGGCAAGTGAATGTGCTGCTCATTGTTTCCAAAGAAATAATATCCTCTCTTTTTAGTTCCAAGGCATTCCTTCCTCTTTTTCTCTGCTACTTTCCCCCCTCCCAGTTTTCTTCCTTACTGTTCTTTTTTTCCATCAGCTAATCTTTTGATTAAAAAAATAGGACAAAAGTCACTGTGACGCTGAAAACAAAATCCTCTCTTGAGGTCTTGTATCCTTCTACATCACCCATTTTTAATCTAAATGTCTTCTCTGCATCCACATCGACCTCTTGCTGTCTGCTCTCTAAGATACCCATCATGGTATCTTGGGAACCAAGACTGTTACAATTACATGTTTAACATTAGTCATTTCATTCAGTTTTAATCACCTCAGTTTATATCTTGTTCATAACAGTGGTAGTAGAGAATGCATATTATATCTTACTGACCTATTTTAAGAGTACCTGTAGAACATCTCAACTAGGACAAAGGAAGAAGACAAGAGCCTTGCTGACATGTCTTGACCTTGGGATAAGACAGACAGACTGCATGTGCATACCCATATACACATACACAAAAATACACACAAACTTTATTACACAAGTGAACAGGACCTACCTTTTTCTGTCCTTGGGAGTCAGGTCAGTTTTGGATTTCAATCACAAAGAGCTGTACTAACTATACTGGAAGAACTATACTGAGGATTTTCCAATAGCCGACTTTCCCTTCTGACATTTTTTCTACCAGCAAAATAGCTTGAGAATATTTTCCTAACTCATGTAGGCATGAATGTAAGCTTCAAATATACTGAACAGTTGTACAATTTCTTAAAATGCTTTGGATTTAAATTGTTCAGCCATTTTTATAAATAATGTTAAATAACATAAAATATATTTTCTATGTAGTTGCTTTTATGGTGGTGCTAAAGCATAAAGTACTAAATGTTCAATTATTTTATTTGTGGGACAACTTTGGATAGAATGTAAACAAGGTTTTTGTTTTAAACTCTTGCTTTCACACTGTGATTAGGTCCCTTCTATGGTCAGGTGGTACCTGAGAAGCAGGCATCTTTTCAGGAGTTAGGATTCAGATGTTCTGTTTGAGTGAAGTAACATCTGAAATAAGTGTAACTGATTAGAAGAAAGTAACTAATAATATTTTCATTGTGGTATTATTTGTGCTTGATTGCAAGACTGTTAAGACAGAGCCTGATCACTCTGTCCAGTAATTCTAGTGTTGAGGCTAGTGTATAAATTCAGTTTGTATCTATAGTAGTAAGCTGAGTAGAGACTGCATGAGCTCTGCTCATGGTACATGCTAGACTAGTTGAGATCTTTCCAAAATATATTCTATTTTGGAAAGATCTCAACTCAAATGTCAAGGTTCCAAGTAACACCCCCAACAAAAGAAGACGCTGAGGCTAGAAGTTCCCCAAAGAACCCTTTTATTAGAGTTGTCATATTGGCACATCTCGGAAAACCCTAATCTGAAAGCTTCCAGGTTTTCCCCACCCAAAAGAAAGTCCAAGACCCTCCCCCTGCACTCACATGTCCATCACATGGTCCAATCAATGCAATGTCCCAACTGGAGTTGCCTCCCAGTCACACCACTCCAGGTGCAGGCCGAATGTCCATGACTCTCAGAAAGGAATGTTGTTATGGTTGGATATCCTGGTGACTCCATGCAGTCCCCCCTCCCAGTTTCCCACAGCACTGAAATGTGGCAGCCCTGAAGAATTCAAGAAAAAGATGACTTCCAGGGCTGACACCAAATTTGAGAGAAAAGAAAGTAACCAAGCAAGAGGAATAATTTGTGATACGGAACTCTTTTGTACATATATTATGCAAATTTGGAGTCTATAAGTCTTGCATTTGAGAATAGATGTAATTAATTCCAATTACTTGGAATTTTGAAAAGTGAGATTATAAAAGTATACCAATGAAGAAAAATAATAGCTCTCAAAAGAAACCAGCATGGCTGCATAAAGAATTCTCTGACAAATTGAAAGACAAAAGGACAAGTATAAAAAGTAGAAAGAGGGGCACATAATTAAGGCAGAATATCAGCAAATAGCCTGAGCCTGCAAATATGAAGTAAAGAAAGAAGGCTCACAATGAACAAAGGCAAAAGTAAAAAAAATTAACAAAAAAAGCTTCTTCCAACATGTTAAAAATAAGCAAAAAGGTAAGGAAACAATTGGTCCATTGCTGGGAGAAAACGGTAAGAAAGTGACAAGCAAGAGGAAGAAAGCAGAACTACTTAATTCATTTTTTGCACCTTTACACAAAGTGAAAAAACAGTCCAACCTATCAAAAACAGCACCACAAAAAACAAATTAGGAACACAAGTTAAAATAGGGAAGAAAATGGTAAGTGAGCATCATCAGGACCAGATAGATTATACCCCAAGGTTCTGAAGGAACTGGCAGATGAGATCTCAGAACCACTGAACTATAACTTTCAAAGATCCTGGAGCACCGGGGAACTGCCAGAGGACTGGAAAAGAGCTCATATAGTTCCCATCTCCAAAAAAAAAAATAGATCCAGGAAACTACAGACTTATCAGCCTGACCTCAGTATCAGGGAAGATTCTGGAAAAGATAATAAAGCAATGGATTAGCAAATATCTAGAAGCAAGCAAAGTAATAACCAAAAGCCAACATGGGTTTGTCAAAAACAGATCATGAAAGACTAATCTTATTGCATTCTTTGACAAAGTGACAAAATTAGTGGACCAGAGGAATGCCGTTGATATAATTTACTTGGACTTCAGTAAGGCATTTGATAAAGTAGACCATAACCTACTACTTGATCAAATAGAAAAATGTGGGTTAGACATTATCACCACCAGATGGATTCATAAGTGGCAACCACACTCAATGTGTAGTCCTCAATGGAACTTCATCTATATGGAGGGAAGCATGCAGTGGGGTACACCAAGGCTGTTTTAGGCCCAGTGCTCTTCAACATTTTCATCAATGATTTGAAGGAGGGGATAGATAGTGAATTCATCAAATTTTCAGATGACACCAAGCTTGCAGGAATATCCAA